CTACAAATAGTGACTCAGAAGATGAACTTTAGGATGAATCTAAATCAGCAGACAATTTATCCAAATTTCTTCCTGAACATTACTCCTGCTTTTCCCAAGCACTACACCTTGTGGTCAGAGATGGCATGTAAAAGGCTGGACACTGCTGAAAGTAATTTCCAAAGCATCAGCCATTGTGTCTTACATTCAAAAATCAACACAAGTAACTGATCTTCTTGAGGGAAAGGCCAGAGTTCAGTCGGTAATGTAAACACGATGAAACTAAGAAATCAAGATTGTTAAAACCCTATAACCAGAGTGCTTTTGAAAGGTGGACCTTTCTTCTTCAGGAGCAAACAGTTTGCACCTGAAAAAGAAATGTCCACATTTTGAAAGTGCTCAGGTTATAGGGTTTTTATTCATTTCTATCAAGACTTCTTGAACTTGCATGTTTTCCTAATATCATGAAACAAGATCATTGAAGGTTTCCTGGGAGAAGTTAGATAATCTAGATATTAGTACATTGAAATTTACTTTTCATGATCGAAGTGTAGTTGCAGATTTGGTGACAATACTGACACCTTTTGAAGAGGCAATAGATTTCACCCAGTGTCAGAACACTATTACCTCCAGTTATGTAGTGCCATGTGTTTATGGGCTGCTCATACTAACAGCATGCAATCAAGATATAATTTCAATCTTGTCTCTGCACTGAAGAAATTTGTTCATGCTTTGGTGACTCAGTATGAGCAACAGATTGTCTTCTTCTTGACTGCAGCATTGGATCCCAGATTTAAACTTCACCAGTGATTAGACCTATGAATCCAATCAAATGCTCCTGCAGCAAGAAGTCAAGAAAGTTTCCTCAACAAATAATCCTACAATCATGCAACCAAAAGAAGACTGTAAATCTCCCTCTCTCAAAAGAAGTAAGCTCTTTAGTATTTTTGCTGCCTCTAAGAAACCAGCCACCTGATCTTTAGAGGATACAGAGATCAACACCTACCTCGATGGTCCTTCCATTCCTGAAGAAACCAACCCTCTAGATTATTGGAAGATCTATGAAAAAAACTTTCCTACTCTAACTATGCTAGCCAAATGCTACCTGAGTGTTCCATCATCCTCTACCCCATTTGAGCATTCATTTAGAACAATGGGCAGTTATAATATCTATACGTCTGCTTGAAAAATACATTTCTTGTTCTAAAACTTTGTTATTGCATTTTGAAAAATTAAAGTATTGAAATATTACTATTTGTTCATATTTTTCTTTCAGGTTCTAAAAAGTTTGTTTCATAAAATAAAAGTACTGAAATCTTAATGTTAGCTATTTTATCATTATTGCATATTACCTGACAAAGTATTCA